CCGTACGTAAATAGTTTCAAGGCATTTCAAGCAAAAACCATAATATGGCGAATAAATAAACATCCGAAGAATCGAGTGGCACGAAACCCATTGAAGCATTTGCTGTTCAAGGCAAGGAATTGGATGCCTTTTCACCAATGTGTTACATTTATACTTAGAACTCTCTAATCCACCAGTCTTATGTTTGTGTGTTTCATTGCATTCTAGTTCACATTGTTGTTGAAGCTTTCAGGTTCGTATTGCCAGTATGGCTTTCCATTATTTTATATTTCATTGTTTACTCTGTACACAACAACGATGCTTGACAATATGTAGTATTAGAAAGGTCAACTTGTTTCAGTTCATTTCATCAAACTAATTTAAAGGATAAGAATGATTCACTAATTAAGTATTTACTATTTTATAGGCAATGGTTGTAGTCAGTGAGAGTTGGGTTAAAAATGTGTCTCCTCATGTGCCCGCTAATAAAGATGTAGTTCTGGAAAATAATGAAAACATGGGAGCACAAGCAGTCCTTATTTGTCGACCTAACTCTCTTCACTTTCAAGAGAGGATACTATCCTTGGATCAGCCTGTTGAAGTGAGTAGAGCAGTGGGACGTGCTAAACCTACTTCAACCAATGCAATTTTTGATTGCAAAATATTATCTAAACATCATGCATTGTTGTGGTATGATAATGGAAAGTTTTATATACAAGACACAAAGAGCAGTAATGGAACATTCGTAAATAGTAACAGATTGTCCCCAGAAGTTTATGAAATTCATTCTGGTGACATTATTCAGTTTGGTGTAGATGTAGTAGAATGCAATAGAAAAGTTACCCATGGTTGCATAATTGCTATCGTGAGATTGTATTTGCCTGATGGTGTAATGGTCAAAGCAAATCCATGCATTGCGGACGAAGAAACTCATGGTGAGTACACTTGAAAATTGTTATTAATTATTAAGTCTACAGGATTTAAAGGAGTTAAAGATTCAACATAGAACTAAAGTACTAGTGGGATTTTCCGGTCCCGGGCTTAATGGCATAACATATACCTACTTCGCTAAAGTCAATTGGACATATTCACTTAGGCCCGTATTTATAAACTCTCACTCACGACACTCAGCTCATGTTTGGCCAAGTACGAGATCGTTCTCAAGAAAGAGACACGATTTATAAACAGTACTTCGTGAATTCTCGGCGAAGTATCGGTCGAGTATAGATGTATAGCGACTTTCATATTTATTTGGTAATTTTATATTGGGACTATTGGCGAACTTGGCGAATCTAAGATGGTGTCAATGTTATTATGTAAATATCTCTTTTGAATCGCTGAAGGACTGGCGAAGATCACGAAGATTACCGGACACAAGTTACAATATAATATACAATTTATGTAAGAAAGTAGACATGGAATCATAGAAATATTGCTACTTCTTGTATAGAATCTCTAGAATAGAAAACTACTTGTATAGATTCTTGAGCAAGCACCAGCAATTGGGTGATA